TACCCAGGCCTGCCATTTGCTGATGTCGCTTTCTTTTTCTCTATTTTAATTAATTAATTTATTAATTTTGGTACTAGGAATTGAACCCAGGGGTGCTTAACCATTGAGCCACACCTCTAGGCTTTTTTATTTTTTATTTTGAGACAAGGTCTTGCTAAATTGCTTAGGGCCTCACTAAGTTGCTGTGGCTAGATTTGAACTTGCAATCCTCTTGCCCCAGGTTCCTGAGCTGCTGGGATTTCAGGCATGCACCACTGTGCCTGGCTCTATTTTATTTTACTTATTTATTTTGTGATGTTGGGCCTTGCATGCTAGGTACATGTTCTACCAATTAGTTACATCCCTTCACTCTCTTTATTTTATTTTGCTCAAGTGCCAAGACCTTCTCATAAAGGTCTTCCAATCCCTCTGAAATATCACATCCACAATGTGCCCATGTTTCTATTTCTTCTTGTTAAATATATTTCTACTGACTCTAGCACAAAATTACATACTTCCTAATCACACTCATCACCAATGGAGACATGTTGTGCATCTTTGAAAAAATTGTTGATCTCATGGTCTCATACTAGAATATAAACTGCATGTAAATAGGAAACTTTATCCTGGAAGTCTAAAGCAATGCTGGGTACATAGTAGATATTTGATCAATACATTTTGAATGAATGACCAGGGCTTAAACAGCAATTTGAATTTTGCTGGTTTTCATTAATACTTTTTAATACTATAGGTGTTTATTCATAAACACACACACACACACACATGTTTAATGAATGGGAACATATTTTACACCTATAGCTGGGGGAGGGACAATCTTGATGGGGTGCCAGGCAACCACAAGAACATGGCAAAGGCATAAATGAGTGGGGAAGAGCAGTGTTGGATGTGAGGTAAAGCCAGTGTCACTTAAGTCCTGCCTGAGGGATAACAAAGACAGAAGTAAGCTCTGCTTAGGTTCAAAAGCAAACATGGGTGTGCAGTGTCACTCAGCTATGGATCCTGACCAAGCCAGATGAAGAAAATAAATCTTCATTTCTTTTTCTACTACTCACAGGGTTGCTGCAATGATTTATTGAGAATCCTAATGAGAGAAACAAAGCTTTATAATCTGTGCACATGTAGGCTAACATGAGGAATTAGAGACCACTCCCAGAACATGAGCATTGCTTGTCTCTGTCCCACCAAGTATGGAGTCAAACCACTCAACAATGTACTTTTTAAAAAAAAAAAATCTTTTTTATTTATTTTTATGTGGTGCCAAGGATCGAACTCAGTGCCTCACACATTCGAGGTAAGCACTCTACCACTGAGCTGCAGCTCCACCTCCTAAACAATATACTTTTTTTGTGGGGGGAGGTTTACCAGGGATTGAACCCAGGTGTGCTTAACCACTGAGCAACATCCCAGTCCCTTTTCTTTTTTATTTACAGACAGGCTCTTGCTAAGTTTCTGAGCCTGGTCTTAAACTGACAATTCTCCTGCTTCAGCCTCCTGAGCAGCTGGGATTACAGGTGTGTACTACTGTATCAGCACAAAAGCTACTTTTAAATCTTATTCCAGGCTCTGAGGTATACCTCAACAGTAGAGTGCTTGACTAGCACAAATGAGGCCCTAGGTTCAATCCCCAGAACTGTGGAGGGGGAAAATGCTTCCCAATAATCTAATCAGCATACATTTAGAGTCCTCAGGCAGGAGAATGAGAGATATTGGAACCTGCTTTCTGGGGACATAGCTCAGTAGAGTGCTTGCCTTGCATCCACAAAGTCCTGGGTTCAATTCCCAGCACTGCAAAAAAAAAATTTTATATATATATATATCTTCTAGAAGCCAGCAGGGCATGGATATTTAGCAATTGTGGATTGAAACACAATGAAAAGGAAGAAGTAATGAGGGGCTGGGGATGTGGCTCAAGCGGTAGCGAGCTCGCCTGGCATGCATGCAGCCCGGGTTCGATCCTCAGCACCACATACAAACAAAGATGTTGTGTCCACCGAAAACTAAAAATTAAATAAAAAAGAGGAAAAAAAAAGTAATGATGCTGGGGTCAGAAGACTTTCATTAATTATACAACCTTGGGAAAGTTATTACCATTTTCCTTATCAGGAAAAAACAAGACAGCATATCTCACAGGGTTCTTATAATGATTGAGTTAGTCAACTTTCCATTACTTACTTAGGTTCACAGTTTCAGAGATGTTAGTCCCTGTCCACTTCCTTGTGTTTGGGCCTGTGATGAGGCAGATGATGATGATGAGGGATGTGTGATACAGCACAGCTGCTCACCTTAGTGGTGGCCAAGAGAGGGAGAAAGGGGCCAGGGACAAAATATACCCTTCAAAGGCCTGTCTCCAAATAAATAGGCTCTGCCTCCTAAAGGCAAAGCTATCAACCAAGTGTTTAACACAATTGTCAAAAGACAAAGTTATAACAAATTTAAAGATCTAATTGACTTTCATTTGCATTTATAGAATAAGGCAACAAATTGATGAGCAGAGGAAGTTGGTTTTATGAAGCAGCCACAGAGAATAAAAAAGATTGTTTCAAACTTTCTTTCCTGATAAAAGTCAAAAGTAAGGGAATTTCCTTACTTTTGACTTTTATCAGGAAAGAACTGGTCTGTTTGGGGATTTGGCTAACATCTCTCAATTTCTTGGAAGGTCAAATAGACAACTTAGTTTGGCTAGGTGGTGTGGAACTTCAACAAATTCCACTTTGGTTTGATCTGCTGGGCATAGTTCAGAAGCTTAATTCAAACCAATGGACTCCTATAGATCATATAGGGTGTGATCTGCTTAGCATCAAAATAGCTCATCTCTAAAGGTGAATATGATGCTAATGGCTGGTTTTGGCTGTAGGGCAGAAATGTATAGGATGAGTGTGGGCACTTTTTAGGGAAGAAATGTATAGGATGAGCATGAACACTTTGATATGTCAGAAAGCAAGTACATTCTCAAAGACTATGTTAAGGCCAGAGAAAAAGGATCACAAGAAGGAGCTCTCCTTGGCCACATACAGGGAAATTTGAGCATTAAAAAAAAAGTATGAAATTGAAACACATTGATTATACTTTTAAAAGATCCACAGCTTCATAATGATTCTCATAGGATAAAAAAGCAAAATCCACTTCAAAAATGAAGAATTAGGGGCTGGGGTTGTGGCTTAGTCATAGAGTACTCACCTAGCATGTGTGAGGCACTGGGTTCATTCCTAGTACCACATAAAGATAATAAAGGTATTTATCCATATATAACATACATAGAATGAAGAATTAAACATTTGTCCTTCCTTTGCTAGCAAGGTATATTTAAGGGCAATGAAATAGTAGCCTTAGTTCATGAGAGAAAGAATTATAGATAATAAATGTAGAAAGAATAATTGGATTAGAAAATTAACTGGGCTGGGTGAGTAGCACTTGACAGAGTGTTTGCCTAGTATGTACAAGGCCCTGAGTTTGATCCCCAGTGCTGCATAAAAAGAAAAGAAAAAAAATTACCACAATCCTTGATGAAATAACAGCAAATGAAAACAGCAAGTAAGCAATGAACATTGGACAAAACCATTAGACAGAGTATAATGAAGAGCATCACAGAGGCAGGCTGTCTCCAGAGGAGCCCAGCGTCATTGAAACCAGAACAGTGAAGCACTGCGTGTTGTCAGTGCACATCATTTCCTGGGAAGTATTCTTACTCACCCTACCACATTGAATCCAGGTACCAAATCTCTATATCCACCCTCAATTTATAGGAAATGTGGGAGAGGCACTGGAAGAAAATTAGTCAAATTCACAAAATGGAACTCTACATGCGGAAAGACCCAGTTTCTAAAAGGCAATGACAGGGAGAAGATAAAAGGGTGAGAGAGGGAATGCTCTAGAATAGGAGACATATAAAAGCCATGGAAGTAAATTTCATATGTAGATTTTGTATGTAAACTGAGTTGAACAAACCAATTGTAAGAGAGTGCAGCCAGACTACTAGGGAAATTTTATTCTGGACTAGGTATAACTCCAGGATTAGCTGATTTTCCAGTGTGAAAAGGCATTGTAGTTTTGCAAAACAGTCTACTTTTCTACTTTTTCAGAGCTGTATACTGTTATATACAAAAGTGAAATGACATATTTGTAATTTGTTCTAAAATGCAGCAGTAGAAGAAAACGGGAATACATGAAGTTTCAGGATCTTGGCAACTATTGAACGTTTGTGATGGGATATGAGAGTTCATTGTTCTGCTTTTGAGAATGCGCATTTTCATAACAAATTTTAAAGAGTTTTTTTTTAATTATGTATAGGAGAGTGGTATAGTGAACAAGCATTAGTTCTCCTTCTTCACACAGATATAAGATATGTGGGTGGAAGCTGAAACCCCCTCAGTGTTTTATTTAAAATACTCTGGGATTTTTCATTTAAGGACTTAGCAGGCCACGTGCCCACTGGAGATCTGGCCCCAGAGTGCGCAGGAAAAAGTTCAAATCAGCAACTGTCACAGGTGGGAACTCTGTAAGACCAAAGTTTGAAAAGCTTTTCTTTTTCTTTTTCCTTTTTAAGTAGGGAATACTTTTCTATCTACCCTTAGGGGTATCTGCAATTTTCGCAGGATAAGCATTAACCGAGCAAGCCAAGAAGAACCAAAGGTAGGCCTTCACGCCTATTCCCTACAAGCGGGATGAGAGAGGCAGGACTAGGCAATGAGACTCCCAAGTTCTGGGCCTGCATGAGGTCAGCCTAGCGGCGCGCGGGGCTCTTTCCCGCCTCGGCTGCCCTAGCAACTGCGCAAAGGGGCGAGGGCGAACGGAAAAAACAACGTGTGGCCCCGCCAGCCACAGGAGCTCCCAGCCCTTGACAACTTCCTTGCAGTCACTGTACAGGCAGATGCATTTTCAGAGCACGCTTCCGAGGTGACCAACACTCTCCAGGAAGCCCGCCTTTCGCTGGGCATCGTTACCAAGCGGTCCTCGCGAGCACTCGGCCCGCCGTTCCCCAGGAGCCCCTCGTTGTTGCACACCTGGATGATTCTCGCCTGCAGGCCAGCACAAACAGAATGCTGAGAGGAGTTCGCCAGCCAACCTTCTTCAGCCCGCAGCGACTATCACCAGGCTGTCACCATCGCCGGCCAGGCCAGCACCTTCGGGGCTCTATGACCGCAGCAAAGCTCCACCCTGGCCACGCCCCTCCATGCGGAGCCAATGGGAGCGCGAGGCGGGCAACTTGCCCTTTCGCCCCGCCCCTCCGGCGGAGCCAATCGGAGGGCCGGGCCGCTCCGCCCTCCAGGGGCCCGCAAGGGCTGGCTCCTCCGCGGCGGGGCGCGATGGAGCCAAGCCCCGAGCCTGCTTATCTCCGCGTCAGCCGGGCCCGGCCGCCGCCAGCTGAGGCGAAGCTGCCGGTGAACTACGAGGAGGAGCTGTACGACTGCCTCGACTACCACTACCTGCGTGACTTCCCGGCCTCCGGGGCGGGGCGCAGCAAGGGCCGGACGCGGCGCGAGCAGGAACTGCGCACCAACCGGCCGGTGCCCGGCGGCCACGAGCGCAAGGTCACGCAGAGGCTCCTCAACGGCCAGCGCAAGCGTCGCCAGCGCCAGTTGCAGCCCCGGCCGCGCACTTGCCTCGCCTAAGCGCTGGTAGGTGCAGACCGCGACCCGGGGCCGTCTTCCCGCCGGGGCTGCCTGGCCACGCTGCAGTACGCTCGCCTCTCATGGTTGTCGCTGCAGGGGTGCAAAGCCGCCTTCCGCCAGCCACACCGCAGCCGGGCCCAAAGCCGCAACGAAGCGCAGGAACCGCTTGGAAGACAGGAGCGCTCTTCCAGCGCTCATGTTCACACTAGAGTACTGATTTCTTTTTCTGTCTGATTTTCTACAGGATACTCAAAGGACCCGATAAAAGTATTTTCACTTAGTCCAGCTGTAACTGTGGTCCTCCATGTTGGTCAACAGAACTTTTCGACATCCTTAAGTTTGCTGCTTCAATCTTTTCCTTACCAGTTGTTAATTAAGTAACGTCCAAGTGGGTATGCCTTTTAGAGTTTTTAATTAAAACAGAACAGCAAGAATGGCATTTTCAACTCTTCTGGGCCTTTTTCCCTCTTCTAGTTACTATAGTAACTCGTTTCTGGTGCATAAATACTTGGGTTCTTATATGCAAAGAAGAGATCATAGAGACGGATGGGGGAGACCAAAGAGGAATTTGTACAAGATTTCTATCCAAATGTCACAGACCACACTGAAGGTTTAAAATTTGTTATAAAAGGACACACTCAACAGTAGGTAGGTTCTCTGCACTTAACTGATATCCTAACAATCCTTTGAGGTAGATGCAGCTATCCCCACTTTAGAGAAGAAATTCTAAGGCACAGTGAGTTCAAGTAACTTTCCAGAGACTACACAGCTAATTAGGCAGTAGACCTTGTTTAGTATAGCAGTAAATATTTCATTCAGTTTTAACCCGAATTTTTCTACATGGTATGTTAATACATATATGCAAACCATACTGCAGTTGAACACTTTTCTGAAAATGCAAAATATTTTGTGGTTGCAGATATCTATAATCCCAGCTACTCTGGAGGCTAGAAGATCACAAGTTGGATGCAAGCCTGGGCAACAGTCAGACACTGTCTCAAAATAAAAAAAGCCTTGGAATGTAGCTCAGTAATAGAGCCCTTGACCAGCTCTGATGAAGCCCTGGATTGGATCCCAGTACATCTCCCCTGCAAAAAAAGGGAAAGAAAAAATGAAAAAATTTACAGAAGGCTCATTTTCCTTAAGCTAACTGATAAAGGAATAATGAGGAGCTGGGTACAGAGGTGAAGCCTGTAATTCCAGTGACTCTTTAATGGCCAAGGTAAAAGGATCACAAGTTTGAGTCAGCCCCAGCAATTTAATTAGGCCCTTCTTCAAAAAATGAAAAGGGGCTGGGTAAAGTGCTCACCTGTAATCCAGGGATTCCGGAGGCCAACACAGGAGGATTGGAAGTTCAAAGCCAGCTGCAGCAATTTAGCAAGGCCCTAAACAACTTAGCAAGACCCTGTGTCAAAAGAGAAAAAGCTGGGCATGTGGCTCATGATAAAGTACCCCTGGGTCCAATCCTCAGTACCAAAAATAAGTAAAAGGGGATATAGCTCTGTGGTACAGTGCTCCTAGTTCAATCTCCAGTACAAAAAAAAAAAAAGGCAGCTTTTTTTCAAATGCATTTTCAAATTTATAATTTTCCCCAAGATACAGGAAGTGTTTTAGGCAGGCTTGGTGGTGCATTCCTGTAATCTCAGCAACTCCAGAGGCTGAGGCAAGTTTGAGGATGGCCTAGACAACTCAGCAAGGTTCTAACAACTCAGTGAGATCCTATCTCAAAATAAAATGGCTGGAAATGTAGCTCAGAGGTTAAGGGCTCTTGAGTTCAATCTCCAGTACCAAAAAAAGAAAAAAAGTTTAAAGTGCCCCAAACCAGCAGATAAAGGCATTCACTTTTCCAGCATCAATTTTCCTTAGCTGTTTGACAGTGTTGTATGTTTCAGAACCACTCACAAACTCCATGTTTAAGGACAAGAGTTGAGTTACAATTGTAAAATTATGCAGAATATGGCAGGCTGACCTCTTTAGTCTGCATTCAGGCAGGCCTTCTGCACCTATCAGTGCGTCCTTGATTGGGACAGAAGAAAATATATTGAAAGGAACAGCTCATGTGAATACTGGCTGAGATAATCTGCCACTCTGGCATTCAGAAAACTTTTGAGTGGTAACTAACTCAGTTTCCACCAAGCTCATTTTCTCATTTGTAAAGTGGAAATGATATTGGTTCACCTTGCAAAACTGTATTACAGACAGAATGTAGAAAGCATCTAACACAGTTAAGAGCCAGCACATGATAGGTACTCAAATGAGTGGTAGCTAATTTTAAATTTATAGAATATCTTTCTTCTACTTACTCTTGAGTAATCTTAAATTTTTCACTTACTACTTTAATTCTTCTGCTAAAATGTCTCCAGCAATGTAGTATGGTAGTAGTCTGGCTTTGGAGGTAAGCACTATGGAGCCTTGGACAAGTTATTTAAAATCTAAGCATCTTTCCTTTACCTATAAAATGGTAGTAATTGTAATGTCTCTTAAGTGTAAATGAAATACTGAGTATAAAGCTCTTAGTACCAGGGCTAGGGACATAACTCAGTTGGTAGAGAGCTTGCTTCACATGCACAAGGCCTTGGGTTCAATCCCCAGGACCACTTAAAAAAAAAAAAAAACCTCTAGTACCATACACACACACAGCAGGCATTAATTTTTTTTTTTCCAGTATCAGGGATTGAACCCAACTTATACAAGCTAGGCAAGCACATTCTGCCACTGAGCTACATCCCCAACCCTTTTTTAATTTTTATTTTGAGACAGGGTGTCGCTAAGTTGCCCAGGATGGCCTCAAACTTGAAATTCTCCTGCCTCAGCCTCCTGAGTAGCTTGAATTACAGGCATGTGCCCCATGCCTAGCCTAAAGGTAATTTTTAATGTTTTCATTGCTTGGTCCCCCTTTTCTCAAATATAATGTACAAATTTGCTCTGTGGTGCAATGGATAGAGCATTGGACTTCTAGCCAAACCTGCAGTAGCCATTCAAATACCATGTCCAGATTAATCTTTCTAGAGAAAATTTTAATCATACAAAAACCCTCAATGGCTTCTCTAACCATATAATGTAAAAAGCTTGAAATCCTTATATTGTCCTAAAAATCATATATTGGATTTTAACTTAAAACTTCACTTAATGACCTGTTTGTATAGTTCTTAGTACTTTCAGATCAGCAGTTCCAGCTGTTATTCTTTTGTCAGATATGTGAAAGGCACTATATTCGTATATCTCAGTTCTCCAAAGAAAAACTTACCATTTTGGTTCTTCCACAGCCAACTGTTAAGTACAGCGTGCCCAGATAGTGGCTGTGTCAAACCAACACTCTGTAAGATGATCTGCTTAATAGAGTTTGCTTGTTTTAGATGCTAGAACTTTTTAATTAAATTTAAAACATGGTGGCTGTAGAAAAATCTGTATTATATACTGCTGTGTAACAAATTACTTCAGACTTAGTGGCTTAAAACAAGTCACATACTGCTTAACCAGTGGATGTGTTCCGGGAAATGCACTAGGCAATTTCCTTGTTGTATGAACACAGTGGTGCACCTGCACAAATGGAGATGGCTAGTGCCACTTGACAGTGCAGTCTTCTTGACTGTACTCACCTCAGGGTCATTCTGGGTCATCCTGACTCAGGTGTCTCCTGAGGCTGCAGTTAAGCTGTTGGCTCACAGACCTCTGAAAGCTGTTTCCAAAATGGCATACTCCAGTGACTGTGACAGGCCTCAGTTCTTTGCCACATGAGGCTCTATCCAAAGGCTGCCTGGGTTTCGGCATGACATCTGGCTTTCCTCAGAGTGAGGAACCCAAAGAGAGTGAGTATAGACTCCAGTAAGATTGGCAGCCAGCCATTCTGAAGTCAAACAACAAGTGCTGGCGAGGATGTGGGGAAAAGGGTACACTTGTACATTGCTGGTGGGACTGCAAATTGGTGCGGCCAATTTGGAAAGCAGTATGGAGATTCCTGGGAAAGCTGGGAATGGAACCACCATTTGACCCAGCTATTGCCCTTCTCGGACTATTCCCTGAAGACCTTAAAAGAGCGTACTACAGGGATACTGCCACATCGATGTTCATAGCAACACAATTCACAATAGCTAGATTGTGGAACCAACCCAGATGCCCTTCAATAGATGAATGGATTAAAAAAATGTGGCATTTATACACAATGGAGTACTACACAGCACTAAAAAATGACAAAATCATGGAATTTGCAGGGAAATGGATGGCACTAGAGCAGATTATGCTAAGTGAAGCTAGCCAATCCCTAAAACACAAATGCCAAATGTCTTCTTTGATATAATGAGAGCAACTAAGAACAGAGCAGGGAGGAAGAGCAGGAGGAAAAGATTAACATTAAACAGAGACATGAGGTGGGAGGGAAAGGGAGAGAAAAGGGAAATTGCATGGAAATGGAAGGAGACCCTCAATGTTATATAAAATTACATGTAAGAGGTTGTGAGGGGAATGGGGAAAAAAGAAAAACAAGGAGAGAAATGAATTACAGTAGATGGGGTAGAGAGAGAAGATGGAAGGAGAGGGGAGGGGGGATAGTAGAGGATAGGAAAGGTAGCAGAATACAACAGTTACTAATAATGGCATTATGTAAAAATGTGGATGTGTAACCGATGTGATTCTGCAATCTTTGTAATGTTTTGAACAACCAATAAAAAAAAAAAAGTGACTGTAGAAGCAGCTGCAGAACTCTTATGAACTAGTTTCCAAAGTTGGACCTTCACTTTTGGATTTTCCTATCAGGAGTGAGTCACTATATACCACCCATATTCAAAGTGAGAGACATAAAGCTCCATCTTTTGAAGGGAATGTCTAAGGATGTGTGGATGCATTTTAAACTACCATGGTATATTTCATTATTGTGTATTCATTGCAGAAAAATTGTAATTCCAGTACCCAATTGTGGGGAGTCGTTCTGAATAACCATGCCTTCCAGTGCTGAAGCACAAGGCTCTGACCAGTCACTACATTTCGTGGTGACTTGGGAATTGTCCCAGCTTGGATAGCAAGGCAGGTCTTCAGGTGTAGGCGTCATCTGCAGGGGTTGAGCTACACTCACCTGCTCCCTTGTAATCCTATCTCTTCTGCCATTTTATGGATAGAACTTTCTAAGAACAGTGCCTCCCCCCCCAAATAAAAGCTGACTTCCAACCATGGTCTCCCTTTTGGGGAGCCTGAGGCTGAGAGCCTGGGGAAGCCATCCTGAAGATTGTGTAAAGGTAAATGTGTCTGTTTTATTTTGTGTCACCACAGATTCATACGACCTTAGTTCAGCTGCCCGTGCTGGATGGGGGTGGCAGTTGGCGCCCCAACAGGAACACTCAATGTGAATTTGTAGGTTTGACTTGGGTTGAGCACACTTTAAAAATTCAGAGAAACGTGTTTTGGGTTGTGAAAGAAGCAGATAAATGGAGAGTAAGGGACATTTAAAAATTAACACGGGCCATTTCACATCTTCAGGAAAAAAAAGAGATTTATCTGATGATCCTGGAGACTTTAAACTAAAATAAAAAAGAGCCCAGCTAGCTCAAGCAACCTAGTTCAGCTGCCCGTGCTAGATGGGGATGGCACTCAGTTGGGTGTATATGTACTTTAAATCAAAATAAACTGTGAAAAACACTTTATAACCTGCTCTTGCACTTAATATACTGTGACGACTCCAGGCATGGTGGTGCACACCTGCAGTCCCAGTGACTCACTAGACTGAAGCAAGGGGAACTTATGGTTTGAAGCTGGCGAATGCAATTTAGGGAGACCCTGTTTCAAACAATAAAAAAGGACTGGGGATGGACTGTATCATATAAATATGTATATAGATATATCATATAGACAAGACATGTATATAGATGTATCATATAGATAGACGTGTATATAGATGCATCATATAGATAGAGGTGTATATATATCATGTCAAATGTTCTTTTATAAATTTTTTCCATGCTGGAGATTGAACCCAGGGTCTTGCTCATGATAAGCAAGCACTATGACACTCAGCTATGTCAAGTGTGGTGGTGCACGCCTATAAGTCCATCAAGTCTGGGAGGCTGAGGCAGGAGGATCCCAAGTTCAAGGGCAGCCTCAATAATTTAGTGAGATTTTAAGCAACTTAGCAAGACCCTGTCTCAAAATTGAAAAATAAAAAGGGGATGTAGTTCAGTGATTAAGCACCCTTAGGTTCAGTCCCCAGTACCAACAACACTGAGCTACATCCCTAGCACCCTTTCATAACTTTAATGACAGTGTACATTTCATCATATTTAACTTATAAATAATTCTATATTGTAGTATGCTTAAGTTGTTTACAGGTTTTCTCTGTCTGTTAAAAACATTCCTGCAGCTAATTTCTACAATCAGGAACATTATGCAATTTAAATTTTCCTGTTAGGGCTGGGGATGTAGTTTAGTGGTGGAGCTCTTGCCTATCTTTTAAAGGCCCTGGGTTTGATATCTGCCTCTGGAAAAAAATTCTGATGCTATTAGGTGTAGTAACACATCTGTAGTCCTACGATAGCTTGAGCCCAGGATTTAAAATAAATTTTAAAAAATTTTAATTTGTTTTATACAACAGAATACATTACAATTCATATTATGCACAGAAAGCACAATTTTTTCATATCTCTGGTTGTACACCCAGAATTAAAAAAAAAATTTTTAGTTGTAGATGGACACAATACCTTTTATTTATTTTATGTGGTGCTGAGGATCGAACCCAGTGCCTCATAAATGCAAGGCAAGTGCTCTACCACTGAGCCACCACCCCAGCCCTTGAGCCCAGGATTTTGAGGACAGCCTTGGCAAGGTAGCAAGAACCCTTCTCAAAACAAAAATAGAAACAGTCTTCTCTAAATGATAGTACTAAAAATAAAATTGTTGCCTTTTGCCTAATTTGAGAATTTTTACTGCAATCATTGAGTCCGTTTACCTAAATTTCTTATCTATAACAACTTTTAAGTTTCTTGGTTCAAATTTTGATCACTGTAAGTGAATTTAGGTGGGGGGCTTAACAATAAGGGGACTGGCACTCTACCACTGAGTCACATTTCCAACCTTTTTTGTAGGGTCTCCCTGCGTTGCTGAGGCTGGCAACTTGTGATCCTCCTGTCTCATCCTTCTGAGCCACTGCTCTTGTTTATGGATCTTAATACAAAAAAAAACTAGCAAACCAGGGGCTGGGGTTGTGGCTCAGTGGTAGAATGCTCGCCTAGCATGCATGAGGCACTGGGTTCGGTCCTCAGCACCACGTAAAAATAAAGGTATTGTGTCCAACTACAACTAAAATAATAATAATAATAAAACTAGCAAACTAGATTCAGCATTGTTAACAGTCTTATACAACAATACCCACCTCTTTTCACTCGTTTTATGGTTCTTACTAGTTGTCATAGCAACTCTCAACTCTTGGTGCCGGGTGTGTGGGGTTGTCATTTAGCAATCAGACAAGACAATAATGAAGTTAGAGGTTGCCTGGGTCACTATGGCAACACCTTAGCCCACCTGACCCACCAGCATCTGCTGCTCAAAAACAAAGTTTGCAAGATGGCCCACACCTAAATTCCAGCTACAAGGAATTAAAATTAAAAGGGCCTCAAAATTTAAAGGGCCAGAGATGTGGCTCGGTGGTTGAATGACCTGGACTCGATAACCAGAAAGAGAAAAAAGAAAAAAAAGCAAATTCAGGATGAGGCAGCTAGGTTCCACCGGCAGGTCAAGAGCAGGGCAGGGCAACACCGCCACCACCCGGCAGGCTCCGGCCCGCCGCCCCTCTAGCGCGGCAGTCTCGCCTCCTGCGCCTTCTTCGCATCACCACTGCCTGACTCAGGGAGGCTTTGGGGTTCCCCTCCCTGAAACCCAAGCTCCGCGAAGGCAGATCTGGGGTGTGTGTCTGTGTGTAATTACTGCTATCTGCGGAACTGCGGACGGAGCCCGGGATCGCTGCTAGTCACCGCGGGGTGAGCCTCGCGGCCCGGGGAAGTCACGCCGGGCCCGCGGCGTGCGGACGCTGTCCCATTCCGGACCGTAACCGCACGGCGGCACGCAGAGGGGCTGTCGTGACGGACACGAGGCGCTCATGCCGCGCGACCTCAGCGGGGTCACACGGACACGCGGCTTCCTTGCGCTTGTCTCCTGAATCCATTCTCGAAACCCTCGCGAGGAACCCAAGGCCGCTGCCTCTCTGCTCGCGCCCAACACGCCCCGCAACAACTTCCGGTCTCCCAGAGCGCCGGCGCCCGCTCATGACGTCACTGCGCTGCCAAGCCGTAGTGACGTCTTGCTCTTCCGGTGACCTTCAGGGCCCGTGGACGTCGGCACCCGGCCCCTGCCTACGCGCTGATTGGTTGCGCCCCGGACAGCCCCATCCCCAGCTTCCGCTAGCCTTCGGAGGTGGTCACCTGCGCCCTGCACTTCGCCTTCTGGACGTCTAGCCGTCGGGAACTTACCATGCCGCGTGGAAGCCGGAGCCGCACTTCGCGCGTGGCGCCCCCAGCCAGGTGAGGCCCCGTGGGGCGCGGGGCCCCCGCCTGGACGCCCGGCTGCTGGCTGCGGGACGCGGGGTCGCGGGGCGGGCGGGTTAGGGTGCCGGGAGCGCAGGGCACGGCGTCTCCTGTTGTGGTGCGGGACTCGCCGGTGCGGCTGTCACGCCGGGGCGCGTGCTCACCCGGACGCTCCGCGGGAGGGTCTTGCGGGGAGGGGACCTGAAGGCTCCGAGGGCCTGACCTGGGCTAAGGGTGGCGCAGCAGTGTTTGACGCTCCGGTGGGAATGCTGGGAGCGCCGGTGGCCGCGTGTGGGAGCCCCGGTACGTGCTGCAGCCCGGCAGTCGCCGGCGCTGGCCGCCTTCCAGTCCAAAACGAGATGCCAGCCCAAACTTCTCCCCAGCCGAGTCTCCTGTGGTTTGAGGACGGGTCTCGCGGTTTTGCCCAGGTTGCTCCCGCACTCGTCCCTAGCGACCCTCGGGTTCGGTTTCCTGGGGACAACCCAGGGCTAGAGCCTTCGAATGTAGCTGGCACGGTGAGGCTCGCTTTGGTTCTACTGAGATTCTGATATCCCCCAACATAGCCTCTCTAAAGAAATTTTCTCCTGGCCAGGCACCTGTAATCCCAGCGACTCTGGGGGCTGAGGCAGGAGGATGGCAAGTTAAAGGCCAGCTTCAGCAATTTAGCAAGTTTGGAAGTAAAGAATAAAGCACCCCCCGATTCAATCCCCAGTGCAAACAAAAGAAAATGAATTTATTCCTTAATATTTAATATAACTTAATTTTTTTTTAGCCCACTGTAGCAAAAGGCATCATGACATTTTAAATTATATGAAGTAATTCTTGGAAGTTTCAGTAGAACTTAAGCTCCACCAAGGCAGAGGTTTTTGCCTCTGTTATATTCCCAGCCTCTGCAATACTGCTGCCTAATGTTTGAGTAGATGAATTCTAGATTTTTTTCTTCCTTCATTGTCTTCTTGGTGGCACCAAAGACTGATGCAGGTGCTTTAGTGCTGAGCTTCCCCGCCCTTTTACTTTTTTCATTATGAATGTTGGAATAAATGTGTTTTGAAAAGATTCTGTGACCTATATGAAAACTTTGAAATGGTTGCAGGACTGGGGATGGGAAGAGAGTTCATTTTTAAGTTGACAGTTCACAAAACCAGTTAGAAGTACTTCATCCTTGTTCCTTTTTCTCACAGCCGGGCCCCTCAGATGAGGGCTGCACCCAGGCCAGCACCAGCAGCTCAGCCACCAGCTGCAGCCCCACCAGCTGCAGTCGGGTCTCCTGCTGCAGCACCCCGGCAGCCAGGTCTGATGGCCCAGATGGCAACCACTGCAGCTGGTGTGGCAGTGGGCTCTGCTGTTGGGCACACACTGGGCCATGCCATCACTGGAGGCTTCAGTGGAGGAGAGCCCGCAAAGCCTGATATCACTTACCAGGTATGTTTGGAGAAAATATAATTGTTTATAAGTTCTTTATGCCTAGGAATTGTCTTTAAGGTTAGAATCTACAATACCATTAATAGAAAGTGTGTTGTCAAAAGCCCTATTAGTGATTCAGACCAACACCAACAAGTACTGTACAAATTGTGTTTCTTCCCAAGGTGTACAGTTGGGACAGTCCAGCCTGACTCCCTGTAAAATAGCCATTTTCCCCTTCAAATATTTAATCTCAATGATTTTTCTTATTAATCTAATCTCAATATTAAGTAATCAAAAATTTGCTTTGTGATCCCTTGCCTGATATTTTCCAGCACCTTTCTGAAGTGTGTGGATTTTCTTTACTAATGAATACAAGTTGGGACTCTATAATTCTGGTGTTCTTGAAACTTACCTCTATTTTTCCCATAGTAGTCCCATTTTTCCTCCATCGAGTTTCATTGGAACTTTCTTTCTTTCTTTTTTGCCCGTGTGGGTGTTGTACTAGGCTACCTCCCCGGTATGTTTTATTTGTATTCTGTTCATTTAGTAGGGCCTCACACATGCTGGGCAGATGTTTTATCACTGAACTATAACGACAGCCCCATTTAATCTTGATGTGCCCAGATAACCATTCTGCCTTATTTGCTTTTGTATTCATGAAACTTTCTTATTACAGCTGAAGTTTTATTAAAATTCACTTGCTTTCTGCCTCTTGATATTTTTCACTTTCAGTGTTATTATGTGGACACTTTGATTAATTTGTATTTGATCCTGGTTGTTTCCCTAGTTAACTGCAAAAACTGTAGCGATTTTCTTTCTCAGTAGTTACCAAATGTTTTGCCTTGACTTTACAGGAGCCTCAGGGAACCCAGCCAGCACAACAGCAGCAGCTTAGTGACCCTTGCTTTTATGAGATAAAACAATTTTTGGAGTGTGCCCAGAACCAAGCTGATGTTAAGCTCTGTGAGGGTTTCAATGAGGTGTTGAAGCAGTGCAGAATTGCTAATGGTAAGTGATTGAGCAGGCTTGCATGTGCTCAGTTCACAGTAGTATTCCTGAGCCTGTGGTACTTAGGGAGTCTGTTGATAAATTACACCAACAAGTTAGAAGAAGTATTGTTTAAATTTCTCTGTGCTTTCACCAGCTGTGTTCTAACTATGACTCTTCCTTAAGCAAGTATAAATGCCAGATCTTGTTATGTTTTACTACATGTGAGTGGTCTCTTAGCCTTAAGGCTGTGAGTATAAAATTACATTAAGTTCCTCAAACTCTTGAGATTGGCTTTCTGAAATTCGTAGTCAACTTACTTTTGTGTAAGTGTCTCTTGCCTGTTTTAAGAATTTTATTTTTCCTCCTTCATTTAGGTAGGAAGAAGGGGAAAATTTTAAATCCTTTTAGGTGGTTGAAATATGGAATTAAGAGATTGCCTGTCCAAGAGTGTCAGAAGACTTGTTGACATTACATACAGTACCATAGTAGCTGAATTTCTCCCTCAGAACTTTGTTCCTAGAAGCACACGCACCTTGTCTTTTTTGTTGAGGCAGCTGGAGAGTTGAAACTTTGTTAGTTGAAAGAAGCCTTCAGTAGCTTATCTCAGACATTTGTTTTGTCAGTATCTGCAGCCAGTGTACTTCTAACTTACATTTTCTGTTTGCAGGATTAGTCTAATCAAGAAGTTCATATTGAAGAATTGGAAAATCGGCTTTGATGACCAAGTTACTTTAACATAAAAATGTAATTGATAATGAAAGTATGAATATAAAACTGCAATATAAAGCCTCATTTAATAGCTTCAGTTTTTGTGAATGGCAGCAAATGAGTATTCTAACTGTATGGAAGTTCACAGAGTTGGGACTGGCAAATATGTGGCCTCCTGAAGTCAGCTGTTCTGATGTTCTTTGAGTATTAGAATAAAATGATTTTTTTCCTGAGGTTTGTGGTGAAGGTCGGTCTTTAAGTATGAGTTCATAAATTAGATCTGCATGCCGAACATGATGAATCTCACAACCGAACACAGTAGTCTCCACGGGTCTCCATTCCACTCTTCTCTAGGCTTTGGATGCTAAATTAGTATCCACCTGGAGGGTCTGACAGCTGCCTGAGGGGTGTATCAGGAGGAGCATGCAGGCCTGCCTTGGGGGCTGGTGTGTGAGGGCCAGGTAGTATGCGTGCCTAGCTGCCTGAGGCCTCAGGTTTGATCTCCAGCACCACAAAAAATAACAAATCCTAAAAAATACTGTTGTAAAAGAGGGACTGGCAAAGGAGATGCAGCCTCAGGCTTCCTACTGGATGGGTTTCCTAGGGCCAGGTCAGTACTAGGTTGTCCCCCAGTGTGTCCACTCACCTCAAACTCCCCTCCCTGTGCCCCAGGTCATTTTTAAGTTTTAGATGACACAACACCTTTATTTATATGTGGTGCTGAGGAATGAACCTAGTGCCTCACAGCGCACAGCTCCAGACCCCTCACGCCATTTTTAAGTGAAAGAAACTTAGCTATATCCCTCGTGGAAAGCTCAAATTTTCATTTTCTTTTAGGAGTTAATCTTCCCTCATTTTCTGCAGTTTGTATTCTCAAAAGTACCTTTCAGTCATGGTGTAGCTCAGTGGCAGAGCATTTGCCTAGCATGTGTAAGGTCCTGGGTTCAGTCACCAGCACCATATAGACAAACTGTTGCTGAACCTAGGACATGTCCTTGTCCCTGATCCAACAACGAGGACATGGTTTTGAGAAAAAGGAATAAGGTTTATTGCTGGGCTGAGGGTATAGCTCAGTTGGTAGAGTGCTTGCCTCACATGCACAAGGCCCTGGGTTAAAAAAAAAAAAAAGGTTTATTTGGTTTGCAAGCAAAGGAGAAACACAGGGGACTCCTGTCCTACAGGCTGTGATTCTGCCCCTCAGCAGGAAAAAGGGGTTTTTAAAGAGATGACTCAAAGGCCACATTCCATGTGTTCTCTGGAGTTGCAATTCACTTGTGAATTTGGGAGATAGACATTTCTGAGATCTTCTGGTACCCCCCAAAGTCTGGACTACTTTGTTCCTATGGTGGGTGTGTACTCAGGACAGATTAACTCTTGTCTAGATTAGGGAGAGGGGGAAAGATTAAGGAGGAGCTGGGAGAGAGGAGGAGAAAGAAATGTCCATTTTTAAAATAATTAGTAGGGGCTGGGGTTGTGGCTCATTGGTAAAGTCAGTTTCAACTCCTTTCTTTTTTGTTTTTGTGGTGCTGGACTGAACCCAGGATTTTGTGTATGCAAGGCAAGCACTCTCAACTGAGCTATGTCCCCCGCCCTTTATCTCCTTTCTTTATGGCAATTCAGAATGTGAGTTGATGGGCTGATGTGAAAAGACTCCTGGCTCCCACTGCATTGGCTTAGTGTAGGCCTTTCTACTACTTACGTGGTGACCTCAAGCAAGTCACACTAGAATGCCTAATACCAGGATTCTTGGGTCCTGTGAGACTGAAATCCTTTTAAAATGCTGTGTGAAACACTGTGTGACAACATTCTTCCCCACTTTGGAATGTTAGGGGTTTGAGAAAAGACATAGGGTGGTTATAAGGAGAACAGGTGTCGGCCTGGCACAGTGGTACATGCCTGTGATCCTAGAGACTCCAGAGGCTGAGACATTGTTGTAAATTCTAAGCCAGCCTCAGCAACTTAGTGAGGCCCTAAGCCTTGGAATTTGTCTCAAAAAGAGAAAAGGGCTGCAGATGTGGCTCAGTGGTAAAGTACCCCCTGGGTTCAATCCCCAGTGCTCCCCCCCTAATAAAAGTGGGTATCCACTAGATGCCAGCACATTGCAAATCTCATTCCTAGTTCTGTCCATCCCTTAAGATGGAACCAGTCTCAGGGGCACCCTGACATTTTTTGGCATGTGGGACTCTTTCCAGTACAAGAAGAGTGACTTGCTCAAGGTCACCAGGTAGGTAGGTGAGTAGAAGGGAGGGTGTTTCAGATAAATCTGTGGAAGGCATAGCAGAGGTGAGCTCCCCAGGGGAGGGTCCCTAAGCTTTGAGGCCTGTCTTCAGGAGGGGCCCACACAGAAGGCAGTGCATGCTGGTGTCTGCCCTGTGACAGTTGCCACACCTGTGTACCAAGCTGTTCTTGACATTCAGGGGAATCACTCCCAGAGAAATGTGCATATTCCTGACAATTCTGGCTTTGCCTCCTCTGGGCCTGGAAGCCCGGTGAGCTCCAGAAGGAAGACCTTGCCTCGCTGTCCCATGGTCCTGGGCCTCCTGCACCTCCCTTGCCCTCCACCAGGGGTTGCCCTTGGCAGGATTTGGCCCTGGGCCTAGCCCTGCTGAGCCTGGCCTGCATCCCAGGCTTGCAGTTGTGATTTATTTTTGGCACTTCAGCTTTCCGTCATCAGTTAGCAAAACCCCAAAGAAAAGCACAGGATATCTTACTCCGGCCACAAGTGTCTGCTCAGGACACAGCTTCAGCCTTCTGTTGTCCCTTCTCCTCCAGGGGCTCTGGGACCTTTGGGATTCTTCTCACATTCACTCAAGGGCCTGCCAAGACTAACAGGTGAGTGGCCAAGCAACAGGTGGGAGAGGGAGGCTGCAGGTAGATAAATCAGAGCTCCTGGGCCCATTAGGCCCATTTTTCTTCCCTTCCAAATGCAGATAGGCCTGGGAGTGTGGCCACACCGATTCCTGAAACACTGCCGGGGAGTCTCTGTACACAGTGGCCCTGGTGACTGCTTTCCAACTCTAGCTTTGGAGGAGGGCTGTTCTGTTCCTAAAAGACCCAACCACCCACTCCTATTTGGGAATCTTCTCCAAAGGGGCTTGGGAAAGATGTGAAAGGCTGATGGGCAGTGGATAGGAACACAAAGTTGGCTCTGCTCAGGCCTCCGAGCAGAGGGACACACACAACACACACACCAGAAAAGGTGAGCGCAACAGGACCTGGCCCACTTGGTTGTCAGGGAATGGCCTCCTGGCATGGGTCCAGATATACCCTCTGCCCATGGAGGCCTGGGGAAGGGAGGAGCCTGGTGCTCCTCAGTTTCGAGATGCACGAATGCCCATCTTGGGAACTTGGAAGGACTTGCCAGAAAAGGGGCTTGTTTGGGGGAACATACTCTCCCAGGCTCTGTTGGTTGCTGACGGGGCAGAGGAGACCTTTGTGCAGTCCAGCCCTTGCTCCTGGCAAGGAGACTGTTGTTATTCTAAGCCTCCCTCTGGTAACCAGGCACCCAGTAGCAGGGACACCAGGCCTTCTGGAATGGTCAGCCTGGGTCCTAAGGCAGCCAGGGCTGCTGGTTGGCTGGTCAGCAAATCAGCCTCCCTGAGAGACCAGGGTGTGATAGATGTAGGGTCAGAGGCAGCTTGTGCCCATTCTCTATCTTCCCCTCTTCCTGTTGTCTGCACCTGTCAAAGCCTGCACCTGAGGTAGGAGCCCAGTTCCCTGGTCAAGTGGGCCTTCTCGGCTCCCTAGGTACAGGTTCGACTTTCCTGACTATGCTGCCCCACACTGCAGAAGAGCCACACCGGCTCAACAGTCCTCCCCATTGTTAGGTAGGACCCTGGACCACAGGCTTCCCTACCCAGCCATGGACTCCCATTTTAGGAGCAGTATCTGCCACACCGGAGCACAGAGGGCAGAGGTGATGGACGCATCCTAGGGGAGGTCACAGTCCAACAGAGATGACAGCATACACTGGCAGATTGTTCCAGAGGCTGAGCCGGGACTCGCCACCCAGCTCTGCATCCCTTAGAGCACCTGGCTCTGTGCTTGGCCAAGCATAGGCATTATGTTCTACAAAATGAAAGATGGGATGAGTAGATGAGGGAGGGATTACAGAAGCCCTGGCTGTGGGCAAAGCAAGAGAGGAGCAACAAGAAGGGCTTCCTGAAAGGAAAGGAGGCATGATGAACAAGGATCAGAATGCAAGCACCAAGTCAGGGTTCTTGCCTCTTCCACAGTTGCAGAAGAAAAACAGGACTGATCTAGTCTCCTTCAAAGGCAAAGTAAATTGCACATTAATTTGCCCTCTGTGGTTTAGCTTGGCTCTTTCTAAAAACAAGGATGTGCTGGCCTCACTAGAGCTAACCTGATCTCTTGCCCAAGGCTAAGCCTGGGCTTGGCCAACAATTTGCTAACCCCATCTGTGACCATAAGGAGCCTCAAGTGTCCTGAGGGTCACAGGAGCATTAGCTAGTGGGAAGAAGCAAGCTGGGCTCTTTCCAAAGCTCCCAGCAGAGAGGAAGAGAAGTCACAGGGAGGAAAGGTGGTCATCACTGGGGGACCAGAAGGGGCTGGGCAGTCAGAGGCAGCTGGATTTTTTCACTAATATTTATTTTGAACATTCACTATAGGCCTGTCCTGTGCCAGAAGGTATAACGATGAATGAGAGCTGGGCACGGTGATCAACACCTGTAATCCCAGAGACTCAGGAG